TCTTTTCTCAACCAGTAGAGTAGTTCATCACTCTTTTTATCAGTGACTATTACACATGTACAATGCTTTGAGTACCTATCTTTTCTCCTGCTGTTGGTCTGACTTTCTCTGAATAGCCATTTTCCATTCTTTCATCTTGATTTCTTTCCTCGCTCCTCTTCTCCTCCCTTCTCTTCTCATTTCTTTTTCACCTCCCACCAACCCCCATTAATGGTCATTTTCACCTATCTTGCATTTAGACACCTTCCTACACATCTTTATTAGCCTGTCCTGCCATTGTTTTATGTATTTTCTCCACCTTTTTCATATTTTCCTGTTCCTTTTGACTCAACATCAGCCCCTCTTATATTCCTTGGCATCATGTGTGTCTTCACTTGCCATGTTCATGGCCCCAGGCAGGTGCTCCTTTCTTGGCCTTTTTCCTTCTGTTAGTCCATTCTTCAATATTTCCTTCTCTCATACTTCCCTCCCTTTCTTATGAATACTCAGTTGGAGGGGGGGGGGGACTTATCCTGGGATCTTGCTCTTTCTCACAACCATTCAATTTTTTGTACTTTTGGATGTATTTTTCTTCTCTTGTCTCATCTTTTTAACCTGTGAGCTATGGCACACCTGGCTACCAGGTTTTACACAGCTCATTCTCTTCTTACATGGGAGGTTATTTTGCTTTTGGTAAATCTGGCTTCCCTAGAACCACTCATTTTGTGGGGGAAAGCACTGATGTGTCTCCACCTATGAACTTACGTACCCATGGTTTTCAATCTTAGGGGTCCATTTTCCCCTTTGTGATCATCTCCTTGGAGTATTGTCTTGGTGATTGGACCTTGCCCAAGCTGCTTCCTGCCCTCACTTACCACCTCTCACACAGGATTTCTCTTCTTCAACACATCCCATTGTGTCAAGTGCATTTATATTCAAAGCAGGAACTCTGATGTTTTGATGCTGGTTGTGCAGTCCCTTCACATCAGCTAGCTCAATCCTCTATTTATTCCTTTTTTTTGGAACCTTTTTCTTGTCTGAATGTGAAAAGCTATTATGTGAGGGGAACTTAGTATCTATTGGAAATACATAATAAGTTTTGATATGGTACACTACCTCCTGCCACATGTAAAGCTCTTCTCATTTAGTGCTGCCCTCTATATGATTTTTTTTTTCGCATGCACAAGTCTTTAACTCCCATGTATCCCACAATCAATGTGGTTCAACTGTGTCTCACATGTAAATCATCATGCAACAACTAACAGGAGTGTGACACATAATCCTGATGCATGTGACTCCCCCTATTCGATTCTACCAAATTTTCGCTTCTCATTAGGCAGTGATCGAGTGCAGATGTTTTTAAATTGTGCTCTTTTCACGTGTTCATTTCATTATTTTGCAAAGTAGTGATTTACTTGATTTATTAATTTGCTACAGTTAGTTTTTTTTCTGCAGTAGTTTGTCGTGGTAACTCACCCTTGTTGATTATTTTTTCTCATTTTTGATTTCTTCATGGTTTAAGATGAATTCCAAAGTTTGTGTTTTACAACTTCTGATCTTAATACCATTAAGTGCCATTACCAGTTTAAGGTATGGGGGTCTTGACTAAGGATTTTTCAGCTATCATTCATTGGGAGATTGATTGTTACATGAGGTGTCTTTTTTTCTCCCAATAATGTTCAGGTTTCACCTGCATTGTCTAAATCTGTTCATGAAGAGGAGGATTCTGACAGCGGATATTCTCACCCAGGCAAAGGTTCTTCCTCTAGAGCTCCACCTCAAATGCCTACAGAATCTGTCAGAGGTATTAAGAAGTACCTCACAGAAAAGGCAGAATTAGGAGAGGGAATAAAAAAGGATAGAAAAAAAAAGACTAAAAATATAATAATTGGAACTAGAAGAGAAAGAAAAGGTAAGGTGCACAATTCCCAAGCTGGTCAGATAGATACCAAAGACATGGAATCAAGAAAAGAAAGCAAATAAGTCTACAAATCAGGACAAAATGAGCCATTAATTTGAAGGAAGTGAGGTATTTGGGTATGGGAAAAAGAAATAGTAGAGAAAGAAAATAGCATAAAGCCTAATAACAAGCAGGGAGAAAAGAAAAAATAAACCCCAAGAATCACCAGTGATAAAGTAATAAAACAAAATTAATAATAAAGAACACAGGCAAAGGATCAGGAAATTTAAAAACTTGAGAATGAAATACAGAAAGAGACTGAAAGGTCATCTCAGAAATGGTAAAGTACTACCAAAAACAATCAACATCCACTCCACCAATGGGATGGTTACACACCTCCATGTGCAATAACTGTCTATATGCATTTGTACTGGAGAAATTCATTCTTTTCCCCAGTAATGTATTGACCAGATGTCTGTTTAATTTTATTAATCTATGTTTAATTTCATGAGATTTAACAAAATCATTAACAAAACTTTCATTTCCTATTGCTTTTGTTTCAAAAAGCTGTAATTTTATTGTGAATTCTCAAATGATGGTGATTTATATTTGGTCCTTATTCACACTTAGGCCATATTTCATATATGGCTTTTGGAGGTGCTTGTTAACTGTCAGAATTGTTCAATGTATTGTGGATCACCACATTCTTGATGGGCCTCTTATTCCCATCCTGTCAGACAAATTTTTTTCTCAACAATTAGAAAGGCTGCATGATTACATCATCATGCAAGGTGCAATTCACATTAGATCACATGAAATTAGGTGAAAGTTATCTCAAGACTCGTGGCATGCAAGTCTCTGAGAGATGAACGAGGAAGATAGCCAAGCTGTGTGAAGAGGTGTGGTACTGTCTTAAAAGCTATCAGTAGTTTACTCCTGCAGATTGAGAAGTCACAGACTATTTAATTTAACATTATGATCTCTGCAAGGCTTTGTAGCTGCAGACAGCACCCCACATCAAGGAAGGATCTTTTCTCAGTCCTATTGAGATGATCAGACTTAAATCTTACTTATCTCCAGTGATTTGCCAAATTAGGGACAAACATTTTTTAAATTTTAACAGACCCCTCATGAGCCAGTGGGGAACATTTATTTGAAAAAAAACAACAAACTACTCAATCCAGTTTTTCTTAATTTGAACTGAAATTGTTTGGACATGCTTATTGGCTAAAAAGAAGGCACTTCCCACACTTTTTTAGTGTTGGGGCTGCAAAAAGTATTTGAAGTGGTAAGGTGACTGAAATCCATCAGAGCATCACAAGCTTAATGACCAAGCACAAGAAGCATGAAAGTCTCCAAATGAGATGCAGAGGTATACAAGAACCATTTAGAACCACCTTGGTAGATATTGTGCAGCAAGCCAAGTACAATATTATGCCTGTTGCTGCTTTCAAAGTGTTCTTGTCTGCTCATCCTATTGCTGACTATTGTAATGCTTCGACCTTCCCTACCAAATCACAAGTAAAATTGTTTGTATCTCAACTGAAAGCTAATCATAAAAAGGTTATAGCAGAAGCATAAAAGGTTGGAAATTGTTTAATTAATGATGTTGAGAATGTGGCTTTATTGATATATGCTGAATTTACTCCCAGCAGGTAGACCTTAATACTAGCAAGTATGGAGACTTGAGGATGCAGTATTTCACTTCAAAATTTATCAATTAACAAACGAAAACTTATCCCAAAATGATATTTCCAAAACCACCCTTTTTTGGCAGTTTCCAGATTGAACTTACTTTTACTATTCAACAAATTGTAGTGTAAAGACTACATATATATT